TCGCAATCCAGCGAGGGAAGATCACCACCCCCACTACTTCTCGCGTTAAAATGTGCACTACATTTACGGGAATAATGACGTTAGCGGTTGATGTACCCGGAATCATCAATCAATCCACTGACACAGTTCCTCTTCAGCAGTCGCTGAGCCGAGGAATGTCCGTCGCACCCCTGGCAGCTGCCGCAATCTGCCGCGGCGCTCCGCCGGGGGCGTGGCAGGCGACCGCACTGGGCGTCGAAGCGCGTCCGCGAGGATCGCACCCACAAATTGCGGCCCCACTCCGCCCCGCCCCGTCCCGCCCCGTTCCGCTCCACCCCGTCTCGCCCCGCCTCGCTCTGCCCCGCCTCGTCGCGCCCGCCTCGCCCCGCCCTCGCCCCGCCTCGCCCCGGCCTGTCGCCCGCCTCCCGCCCCGCCTCGCCCCGCCTCGCCCCGCCTCGCCCCGCCTCGCCCCGCCTCGCCCCGCTCGCCCCGCTCGCCCGCCTCGCCCCGCTCGCCCGCCTCGCCCCGCCTCGCCCCGCCTCGCCCGCCTCGCCTCCGCCCGCTCGCCCCGCTTCGCCCGCCTGCGCCCTCCCCGCCTCGCCCTCCCGCCTGCCCTCCCGCCCCGCCCTGGTGTGGGCAACGCCACACCGCACTGCATGGCGCGCAGCGGGACTCCACTTACTCGAGATGGTGGCCTGCGCGCCCGCCGCAGGCTCCCTCGTCGCTCTGATATATGACTGGCGAGCGCCTGCAGGTGGCCGCGCCCGCTCCAGGCGGCCGTGCCGACGGGAGGAGGGGGAGTTGGCCGCGTTGCTCTCCGGGAATTAGCGCACGCTTGAGGTAGTGTGCTTGCTACGGTAATGCGCTTACAAAATGGATCTTCAAGTCGGTCATTTTTTCTTTCAATCGCACCACTAAATGTGTAAGCTAATTGTGAAGTATTCTCTCACTGAGGGTATACATGTAATGTATTCGAAGAGGAAAATCCAGATCAATGTAAACTATCGCTATTGTAATGTCAATATATAATGTTGTACAGCAGCGTTTGCCAATTGGAGGAGAAACGACATCGGGACTCCGTTTCCTCTCGCCGAGCGCTGTCTGAGAGAAGCGAAGCGAACAAAGGTGGAAGGGAGGGTGGGAGGACAGACGGCCGATAACAAAAACCAGTGGGCCTTTGCCGGTATTTAAGGAAACAACAGTGGGAGACCATCTACACCCGTTAATTTTCTCTGGTTTGAGAAGAAAGGTTTCCTTTGGTACATACAGAAAAATGGTGGAATGCCTAGTGTATTAGGAAGAACTGCAGTATGATAAAGTGTTCAACTGACATAGGCATTGCGCAGCTTTGCAACTCAGAGAAACTCGCGAGATGAAAATAATTTCTGAGAACAGTTACTCTGCAATCATGAAATGTGTAAACAATTGTGCAGATAGAAGATTATGGAAAAGAATTGAAAATCACAAGGATTTACAACAACCTCAAACAAAACTGTACTGTATAAATAATCAAACCCGGAGTCTAAATTCTGCCACGTGATCCCCGGAATCTATTTGAACCTATTGTCAACATTAACTACACAGGCACACAAAATAAAAATAGTTGGCAGACCCAAAGACGCGACACAAGTTTCTCTATGTATGTTGACGCGCTTAACCCGTTTCTGAAACTAGAATTACGCCATCACCCTCCGGCGTTTTCAATCGCGAGAAACCACCGTAAAATTGTAAATGACATTGCGCAATTAAAAGAAACAACTAGAAAGTGGTGTGGTAATTCTAGCTTTAACATATGTAAAGAAACATATGTAAAGTCGCTTGTCTGTCAACAACCCCCGATAACAAACAAATGCAATGGCACGGTAGTTTTTTGCGAATAAGAAAACTGAAAGATGGTGGCACAATTCTAGCTTCAGATACAGCGCGTTGACATACATAGAGAAGCATGGGTCAGGTCTTTGGGTATTTTTTTATTTAGCGTATTTACTTTTTTTATTTTGTGTGCCTACGTTATAAGTCCGTGACAAACTAAACTTGTTATAATATATACCATTGTATACATTTTTGTATTGGAGTGTTAAAACTGTCTTCTCCAAAAATGTTATGGGTTTGAAGAATAGATGTGAAATGACAGTACTGGTTGCGATAAATAGAGCTGGATATTGCTTTATGTTACGAAGATATCCACGTTCAATTATTTTAATTTTTCGTATTTTTATTGAATCATAAATATTTAAATAATAATTACCATTTAAAAACATAAATATCGAGCTAATTGATTTTCTTCACTTCCGTAACATCACTGGAACACTGCACACCCGACACCGCGTCCGACACTGGCTTGGCTCCGAGGCTCGGTTTCGAGCAGGAGTGCAGATTTTTGCGACGTCACAGAGCAAGCCCTTGAGTTGGCAAGCCCTGGTGTGTTGATGACGATATGTTAGCTAAGGCAAGACACAAACTCGAACTTCGAAAGGAGCAAGTTGATGAGTTGCTCTCTGGATATGGATACACTCTCGAGGTGGCTTGCAAAGTATTTGCAGCATTAAGACGGTTAGAAAATGAATTTTTAATTTTTGTTTTGGGCAACACACGATAGGTATTGCACGGAAAATTATCGCTCAACGCAACCCATTGCAGATGTGTAATATATCGGTAATTAAGGTGAAAGTGGTAATGAGATAATATTGTTAACGGTCAGCCGTAAACACGCGCTATGGGGAGAAATGCTACTCGAAATCTGTCGGGAAATGTTTCAACGTTCTGAGGAAGCTTGCATGCTCTTTGCTGAGCTCAGTCGCTTAGAAAATGATTTTTTTTCATTTTGTGTTGTTTTTTCTCCGGATGTTTCTGAAAAAAATTCCGTCGAAAAGCAGGAGACGCATTCGAACAATATTTCTTTTAGAGATATTAAAATTGTCGGGACTTACTTGATATAGAAGCGAGTTAAATGGGATGTTTCATGTTTAGTGAGGAAAAACTCTGTGTTCAGGTGCATGAGAAATCTAGCCTATTTGATGTCGTCAATTTTAACAAGAAAATAATGGTAATGATGATCTGCCTGTTAATTATGAGATATTGCTTACAACAAGATATGTTAACTCGTATCCTGAAGGGAAGGATGATGGTGTAAAATAATGCCATTGAAAATCCCTAGTAAATTGGGGTGCCTTGCGTCTTTGAATTTTTACCATTAGAGATACACTCCATATTATACTTATGCAATAATTATATACCTTCTTTCCGATTACATCGCTGTTCGACCTGCGTACTCGCAGTATTGCACATCATTGAGGTCATGAAGGGTGACCTATATGGAAAATAAGGATCAACTATACATCAAAATTGGCGAGGTTGTTCAGGGCATCAACTAATGTCACTACAGCGCCTCTGATTGATTGTTTTCCAGGGTTTATCGGATCAAAACCTGGGGAATGATGGAGCAGTAACCTAAGAAACAACCCATGGACCGCGCACGATCTTTCCTTGACACATCCTCACCCCTTACGTACACACTCACTTACGTGAACTGCACTACCACACATGCCGCGACACCTGTCGGGAGATTGTCCCGGCCGTGGTGGAGCTCCGCTGGCGGGAGATACCTAGTTGGGAAAAAACCCGCTAGTCGGTACGTAGGTCGGCACCGTATCCCACCATCCAATGGACGATGATCACCGCCACCTCCTGAGGAAAAAAAATCATGCACTACACCTCCGGGAATAATGACCTTAGCAGTTGACGTGCCCGGAATCACTAATCAATCAGTCAATCAATTAACCTTACACCAGACCCTCACCAGGTCACTCCACAATTTCACAATGAACGCCAACGAGAAGAGGAAAATCGTTATGAATCTGTTGCGAAAACACAGGGAAGTCAGGTGACAGGTGTGCATTAGTTTCGGCAACTAACTGCACTGCTCTGTACACTCGTTTCTTCTATGCAACTTCTTTCTTTTGTGTAAACGAATTATTAATGAGATGGCTGGTGAGGTAGATACCTTCTAATAATTAAATGTGGTAAATTAATATTAGACAACACCTTTAATTTACCATATTTAATAAATGATTTAATAAAATAATCTTGGAAATATATTAATAACCTGAAACTTTTTACTTAATTATCCAGGTATATTGTACATTAAATATATTTATTAGTATATTTTCCTAAAACGAAGAAAAAATAAAAAAATTAAAATCAGTTATTTTACTGCTGTTTACAAATGAATTTCAATAGTGGAACGCTAAAAGTGGGTAGAAAATATGGGTCGCTCGAAAATAATACATGTAAATATTCATTTAAAAAATAAGCATGTGTACTTACTTTTTGGTTTCTAATGCAAACACGTCCGTCTTCCTGACTCTCTCTTTCTCTCCTTCGCTCTCCCTTTCTTTTTCTCTTTCTCTCTTTCTCTTTCGATCTCTCTTTATCTTTCTTTTTCTCTTTCTTTTCTCTTTCTTACTTTTCTTTCTTTCTTTCTCTCTTTTCTCTTTTCTTTCTTCTTCCTCTATTTCTCTTTTCTCTTTTTCTCTCTCTTTCTCTTTCTTCTCTTATCTATCTTTCTCCTTCTCTCTTTTCTTTCTTCCTTTCTCTCTCTCTCTCTCTCTCTCTCTCTCTCTCTCCGTCTCTCTTTCTCTCTCTCGTCGCGCATGTCACATGGCATACACCGCCTTTTAAAAATACAATGCATCGTAATCATTAGATTGTTCCACATCTGTTCTGAGAGATATTATTTTCTCCAAATATTAATTTCTTAAATTAATTCAGAGATTTTCAAGAGAGACAACAATTTTTGTTGTTTAGTGATTTTTGTCAATGTGAAATGTATGAATAAAGTTTTCTCAGCATTACTATTAGTGTATGAAACTCTCCAGTTTAAAACAGAAATTTTTTAAATTTTTTAATACCTTTCTTAATGCGTATGTTCCTCCTGTTTCCCATTCGTGTTAATCAGTAATCTTCCGATTAAAGATTAATAATCAATAATCCAATAATCATTTCTTAATTTTTTCTTACAGGAATCCACTGCGACGTGATAGACTTCTTTCATCACTTGTTCCAGAGCATCTATAGGTGAGTTATTCTGCCTCCGCACAGAGACAGGATTCGCCTTATGTGGCATCACATTGTCAACTACCTGCGTTTCTTCGGCATTCGTCAAATGTGATTCCTCTGAATAAGATTTTCAGTGATTTTTGTTATTTCATTGCAGCATATTGAATTATAGCCTGATGTAATAGATTTACTTCCTATTTCAAAAACTAGTCTTTAATGAAGTTCTTTTTTGGGAAAATTATTTGTTGAGTTGATAACAGTCAGAAACATAAAAATGTGAATTATAGCTTTCCCAGATTATCTTTCAATGGCTGTAAACTGGCTATTTATTGGTACATGCAAAAATGTATTATTCATTATCATAAAATACATCAGTAGAGACATTTCTTGACACACATGCATACAGTGTCTGACCGCAATGACTGCGAAGATTTTATTCGTAATCTTTCGTTTCAGTAGGTATACAAGATTTTTACACACGTCTTTTTCGAACTCCTTGACCCTCCAACTGCAACAAATAGAGATTTACCAGCAATTTTTCTATCCCAGCGATGTTTCCAGGACATGTTCGCAAGCGGCCCCACGCGTCTGTTTTTTTGCTCCTTCGATCTGACCGCCGCGCTGCCTGCATTGATCTCCATAACTCGCCGAAGTCGCCCCATCTGCCGCACGTGAAGCACAGCGCGCCAGAAAAACGACGGCGTGGGCGCGCGTGTTTTCTCGCAAACCCAATTTGAATTTTAAAACAAAACACTACCTATGTTTTTTACTCCTCGGCCGCGCCGCGCCGCGCCGCGCCGCCCCGCGCGCCTGCTTGCGCAGCTTGCAGATATTCCAAACTCTGTGTTTCTCCGTGGGTTCGTCCCGCCGCGGACAGATGTCACCGCTTTCGTAAGGCTGTTCGGCGGACAAGCACTCCTCCCATACTGTGGGACGATCGCTGGATTCGAAGCGTTTGCCATATGTAGCGCTTATTCAGTTTTTTTCTGAATAGTTCTCATTAGGGTAAAGAAAACAACGAAATGATCCTCTGCTTACATTGTCAAGATAATTTTTTTTGCGCAAGACCATCAATTGTATGGAGTTGACGAGACCGATCTCTGTACGTAGCAATGAGAGTCCGTAGCTTTCAGACTTCAAAATACCGTACGTGCTCAGTTTTGAGCTTATGAAGTTGTATTTTCACCCATACCTGCAGAACAATAAAAATGCTTTTAAGTATTTATCACAATATACTTACTGTATTAATAATTAATATAAAGTCGTGTACTTGAACAGCAATATTGTTACCCTAATTTTACCCCTCACAACAAAAACTTCCAAGGGCTTGCCGTCGACTAATGACGTTTGTACGACCAATATTCGATCAATAGCGATTCTATTGTAGGATAGTAAGAGTGAAAAAATATTATTCATTGAGTAAATATATTTAGTAAATAAATTTGTGCCAAAGATCCATGTCTTACTGCCTTATTTTGTCATAAAAATGTAACAATGTGTATATTTATATTATTATAGTTGTAATTTCAATTATTATTGTTGGTAATATCACTGTTTTTAATAAATCGCTTGCCTAGCTGTACGAGAAAAAGTAAAGAAAAATTAAAAAATTAATATATGTGTTAAAAATGTTGTGTTTAAAGTACTCGTATATGTAACTTTGCAAAACCAGCTTAAACGTAAATATACTGAACTCCTGGTACTTGGAAAATATCCTCCGTTCCTTACTGAAGATGTTATATTTCAGTGCAAGAAGAAAGAAATGTATATTGTATCAGCGATATACGTAGAGCAGACAATCTTACATCTTTTCAATTAAAGATATGTAGATCATTTTTTAAATGTACTTCATTTGCAAATGACGTGGCATATGCGACCAACTAGATAGATAGAGAAAATGGTAACGGTTCATAGGCGATGATTTTACACCATAAAAATAAAAACCAATTCACCAAAATGAACGCATCAACAGGCTGCGCTTGTACTTGTGTATTGATAACAGTATATTGCATATAATTAATTTACTTATATATTATATATTGCAGAATATTTAGAATATTGTTGGTCTACATCATATTACCATACATTTTTATTGGTGAATGTTTCTCTTATCACGTATTTTAAATTAAAATACAAAATAGTGTTTTGAAATATGAATGTCATATTTCGCCCATAACCCGTCATTATTTATATTTGCAATGTCAGCAGTATAATCTGAACCCACAAATTTATTGACCATTTAAATTACGACTTACGACTCGTACTTGAAAACGTTTCAATTAAGAAAACGAGAAACACGTTCCCTTTGTTATAGTTTTTTTGGCTTCTCCTTTTTCCACCCTATTTAATTTATTCTTGCACCGATCACTGTACGTCTGATTCATCACGTTCTTCATTCACCACTCTTCCTAAATTTTTCGCTCCGTTCTTCGCGTTACATGCTATTCTACAACTCTCAATTTTTCATAACCATCATCAGAGTCTGTTACAAAGAACGCTCATTTTAATATAGAAAGTCTAACGCTCATGCGCACAAGCTGAGCGGCGTTGTCAAAGCTCCCGGACAAAAGAAAAACGGAAAGTCAGTCTACCGGTGGATATCTAACGAAGCAGATGTGAAACGAAGCAGAGCGTGTGCTCTCGCCATTCTTTGCAAAGCATAACTCCAGACAATAGTTGTAACCAGCGATACTGTCTAACAAGTCAAAATCAACAAACTTGCATACTTCAAAGGTGTTATTTTGTGGTGAAAGTCACGGCCAAAATCAAGCCAAAGGGGAATTTCGTAAACGGTTGTGGCGCCAAAAGAACGAACAACGGATTCTACATGGAAGTCAGCACATTGGTTCTATATCAAAATTTAAGCTTAAACTATTGGTACCAAAATTTAATCAAGGCTAGCATTTGCACTCAACGTTATTCATGTACAAATTAGTTTAATTGATTTCGTAATAAAGATTTGTTCACAACGCTGTACAACAAATGTCCATACATTAATTGTAATCATTCATTTCACTCCCGTTCATAACCTTCCATAATAATTAGATAGTTTTGAAGTGTAAAAGGAGCTACCGAAAAATCAAAATTACCATCGCACTTCAGAATATATCAACGTGTAAGCTTCATTCATGTGTGTTGCACTGCATCTTCATCCGCGCTTCCTTTCCCGCCCTGCCGCTTCCACTTCTCAACGGATGTCCCGCGAAACGAGGAGCGGCTTAAAGAGCACCGAGCTGCGGCCGCCCGATTTGTACGCAGACCCCGGTGGCTGCGAGTCGCCCGAGACGTCAGGGGCGAGGGAAGGAAGCGAGAAGTGTAGAAACGTGCGACGGAGGTCAACGAGAAGGCGGAAAGACGGGAAGAGGCGACAGAGGATCCACTGAAGATGCGCTTGTCATTGGCGGCGGAGTGGAAAAGAGGCGGCGTTCGATTGGCTCTGGACGAGGTAAGGGACTGGGATGGGACCGTTGGGCTGAGTGTGGGGCGAGGCAGAGGCGGGGATGTGAGACAGAACGGGTTCGGAAAAGGAGAGGCACGACGGACAGACATGGGGTTCAGTGAGGGGGGACGGCATTGTAAAGTTCGGAAAGGGAGAAGACAGGGCAGGCTGAAGGGGCAAGAATGTGATGGAGCGGTATGGGAAAGTGACGAGAGAGAGAGAGAGAGCAGAGAGAGAGGGAGAGAGACGCGCGGTCGGATGGAGGGAGAGGGACGGGACGACGCGGACGAAAGGGCGGACAAGAAGGTGCGGGTGTGGGGACGCGTGAAGCGAATGAAGGAGGACAGAGCGTGTGAAGAGGGGGGCACAAGGAGGAGCGTGAGAGATGGGGACACGAAGCTTGGGGGGGCGGGTATCAGACAGAGTGGGGCGCGTGAGAAGCGTGGCGGCGGGAGGGGGTGTGTGGAACTAGCTGGGGGAGCACCGCAGCCGCTCGTTCGCGCCCCGTCCCGAGGTTATCTCCGCCCTCCTCTCCCCCGCGCACGGCGCAAGGGGGCGGGGCACCCGAGGAGACTCTCTGGATTACAGAAGCCCCTCTGAATATAGAGAGGATCCGCTACGTCGCGAGCTGTGGAAGTAGGTTACTCCACGAGGCGGGAGAGAAATTCCATCCACGCGGTGTATTCGCACGGAGATTTATGAATCCGATTACTAACAGATTGACGAATGGGCTGTGTTTATATTTGTGTTCGAGTACGTGTACCAATTTACCTCGCAAGCAAATGGACATCGTATTAAAATCATGTTTTTCACATTGAAAAACAAATTCTGGGTTTAATTTGTGTAATTTTCTGTGTCAACGTGTTTCGTAGAATTTATTTACAAATAATTATTTAGTTGTTCTCACTAAATCATGACAGTAAACGAATAATGGAACAAGAGAATGATCGTTCAATACAATAATGGAATTCAGGTGCTTTCTCGTTTGGTCAGCATTCTGTGCAATTCTTCCGACTTCACGTCTTCTCCATGTTTGAAGTTCATATGTGTCTACTATTTACTTAAGAGGACACATACGCACTCCACACAAATCGTACCGGTAACGTATTTACAAATGTAATCGCTGCAACTCAAACACTTCAACGTATTTGGAGGGTTGCGGGAACCGGTAAACCGACACCGCAAATATGGGGCAGTAGACAAATATTCCCGAACTATTGGTTTGACGAATATGTTGCCTCTTGTTTGCAACGTGCACACGAGAATGTTGCGACAGGATATTATGACGGAATTGTACTGGAACAAATATTCATTGTTTCATTTTATTAAATTGATTTTGTTGTATGTTAGTATTGTAAAGTAAACTGTAATCAGGTAATACCATATTTAAAAAATTTCAATGAAGTTGCAAAGTGCAACAATATTTACCCTCTAATGTGCACTTCGTAATGATTACTCAGTTAGTTTAAATTCTAATATATGACAAAAAGATTTACATTTTTCAAGAAGACAATTACCAACTTTTAGACGTTTTCATT